TGCTGATTTGATATGATCTGTCATGCTTTGATGTGCGATGCGCTGTTGTAGAGGATATGCTCTGCCATGGCCTGCTACTTTTCGCGTCACACCCTATGACAAAGTTATCATCCGAGGCGATGCCTTCGGTGTCCGAGCAGATCCAAGCCCGACTGTCGTGGCATCGCAGCTGTATAGAATGCGTGCGCACGGCGGTCACCCGCCAGCCGGACGAGGCCTCTGCAAGAAGCGGAGTGAAGGGAGGATGTGTTGAAGATGATGAAGGGACCAGGAGGCGAAGCGAGGAAGAGAGACGAGCGTAAAGTGACGGTGGGGCGTTCATTAAATGACACGCGCATGGCGTCCGAGGCGATGCCTTCGGAGAGTAAGTGCCCGTACACTCGCGAGACGTGGGGGAAAGGGTGGGTGCTCTTTCGTGGGAGGAGGCAGAGTTTGGGAAGGGGGCGTAAGAGGACCTGGCCCTGGCCTAGAGGCAGTACTTGACAAGCTCAGCCCAGTTGGCTTTCGCTTTCCCAGGAACCTTGAATGAGAACTGCTTGTCCTCGCGGACCATGGGCTCTTTGGCCCTCCACGAGCACTTTTTCACATCAGTGTAAATCTTAAACTTCCCAATGAAAAAAGCATCGCGAGGGCAAGTCGGGATCCCAGGGAACTTAGTGAGCGAAGTATGACCCGCAGGGCTGGGGGCAGCAGCTGGCCTCTTAAACGCAGGGCCGCTCGCGGCCACGGCTCTCTTGGCCCTCTTGGCAGGGGGGGTACGCTTGGCCTTGGCCTTCACAGCCTTGGCCTTCTTGGGTTTGGCTGTCTCTTCGGCAGTCTCCTTCTTGGCAGGGCGGCCGCGGCCTTTGCCGCGGCCGCGACCCTTGCCGCGGCCCTTGCCGCGGCCAGTGCCACTGCTAGCGCCCTCAGCCTCCTCCTCTGCCTCTGCAGCTTCCCTGGCGTCTCTAGCCGCCTCCCTCGATCTCTTCAGGACGCTCTTCAGTCTCTCCGCAGAAGCTTCCAAGTCTCCGCGCGAGGAGCCTGCGCCGCCCGCCGCGGACTCCTCCGAACCGAGCGAATCAATCAGCTCCACGACCCCCTCAAGGCCTGCAGGCAGCGCAGCGGCCGCGCCCGCAGCGCCCGCAATCGCAGCGGGCGCGACCGCGGGAGCAGCTGGCGGCGGAAGGGCAAGCATGCCTCCTGTCGCTGGCGGGGCCATGAGCTGGGGTCTGGCGCTGCCAGCGCTAGCGTTGCCGGCGCCAGCGCCGCCGCCGCCGGCGCCGTACACGATCAGGCCAGGCACGCTTGCAGAGTCCACGGCGGGCCTGATCAGGTTGCCGAGCGCCTCGGGTGAGGGTTGCTGCTACCACCGATTCACCCCTTCGTGCAGGGCCCACTCCTCCTCCTCCTCCTCCTCCTCCTCCTCCTCCTCCTCCTCCTGCTCCTCCGCATCCCCCCATTCGCCCCCCTCGTCCTCGTCCTTATCCTTCTCCTTCCTCCTCCTCCTCCTCCTCCTCCTCCTCCTCTTCCTCCTCCTCTTCCTCCTCCTCCTCCTCCTCCTCCTCCTCCTCTATCTTCGCATGATGCGTTCCCCTCCCCTCTCGTTTTTCTTGTTTCCTCTACGCTCCCCGCCCCTTTCAGCCCTTCCCCGCCCTGTTTCCGTCAGGTTACCCTCCCGCCTCCCCTGTGCCCCCCTACCCCCGCTTCTCAAAATCAAATGTGCCGCTTGCTTTCGCTCTCGAAATCTCCTGCGTGTTGCGTTGTCCCTCTCTCTCTGTCTCGCTCTGTCGCTCTCTCCTTCGTTCATTCCGCTGCCCCCCCTCCCAAATCAGGTGCGCCGAGCGCGAGCCCCTCTCCAGCGGTGCCAGGGGGGGTCTTTGCAGGGGAAGTAGGGGTGATTGAGGGGGGGGGAGGAGGAGGAGGAGGAGGAGGAGGAGGAGGAGGAGGAGGAGGAGGAGGAGGAGCGTGGAGCGTGGAGCGTGGAGCGTGGAGCGTGGAGCGCGGGGCGTGGAGCGTGGAGGAGCTGGAGCATGGAGGACGTGGATGGGAAGGAGGAGGAGGAGGAGGAGGAGGAGGAGGAGAAGGAAGATGAGGGGGATTCCAGCGGTCCCTGCACTGGGGGGATTCCAGTGGCCCCTGCACTTGGGGGGAGGGGGGGGGAGGAGGAAGTGGAGAGGAAGAGGAGGAGGAGGAGGAGGAGGAGGAGGTGGAGGTGGAGGAGGAGGAGGAGGAGGAAGAGGCACGCTACTCGCGGAGCGGTTGAGGAGGAAGGGGAGGGGGGGCAGCAGCAGCAGCAGGAGGAAGAAGTTGGAGGGAGTAGAAGGAATCGCATCATTGAAAAGCCTCGATCCCTGAAACACGGTCCCAGAGAGGGGAAACACGGCCCCTCGAAGCCTGATCATTAAAAGCCAGCGAGGCGGAGGAGGCCCCAGAGAGGAGGAAACATGGGAGAGAGAGGGAGAGAGAGAGAGAGAGAGAGGGGAGAGAAGGATGAGGAGGTTTATGAGGAGGAGGAGGAGGAGGAGGAGGAGGAGGGGAGGAGGAGGAGGCAGGAGGGTGAGGAGGAGGAGGAGGAGGAGGAGTGGAGGAGGAGGAGGTAGAGGAGGAGGAGGAGGGAGGGGAGGGGGAGGAGGAGGAGGAGGGAGGAGGAGGCTGGAGGAGGAGGCGGAGGAGGAGGAGGAGGAGGAGGAGGAGGAGGAGGAGGAGGAGGAGGAGGAGGAGGAAGAGGAGGAGGAGGAGGAGGAGGAGGAGGAGGAGGAGGAGGAGGAGCACGGCGCCTGCATCAGCATCGCGGCGTGCTGCTGCGAGGCCATCGGCATCGCAGCGCCAGCGCCCCTCCGACCCCTCGTCGAAGCGCCTCCTCCGGACACGGCCGCGTGCGTGCTCCGCATGGGCAGCTGCCTCCTGAGGCCCAGCAGCTCCATGGGTTCCAAGCGCGAAGCGATCGGGGCCTTCTCGGGATTGGGGGCCATGCCCGTCGCACCTGGGTATGCGAACGTATACAAATCGGCGTGGTTTGTAATAACAGGAAAATACAAGACACAAACAAAAATAATAACAAATCGGCGTGGTTTGTCATGACCTCGGCAGGGTTCTTCGGGAACTCTTTGAGCGCGGGCAAGTGGTTCGGCACGGCAATCACGCGGCGATGGCGTTTGATGGATGCCTTCATGTCTTGGAGGTACTCGAAGCTCAACGACGGATCAGCAGGGACTGTCTGGTCAGCGGGCACCTCTGAGCGCATGATGATGCACGCAGCGTGGAGCACAGACGCTTCGGTAGGGAACTGAAGGTTCAGCATGATCACCCTGAAAGCTAGCACATCCATCTTGCGCTTCGCCGCCTCTCGGACATAACCCAACAAAAAAGGAAAGGAAGGAGAAGGGGGGCGGAAGGAGGAGAGGGGAAAGAAGAAGGCGAGGGTGAACGCGGAGTGGACGAGGAGTGAGAACGAGGAGGAGGAGGAGGAGGAGGTGGAGGAGAGGAAGGGGAAGGGGGAAGGAAGAAGAGGATAGAAATAACTATGAAGGGGATGACAGAATAGGAGGAGGAAACAGGAGGAGGAAAGAGGAGGAGGAGGAAGGAGGAGGAAGGAGGAGGAAGGAGGAGCACTCAGGAGGAGGTGGAGAGAACATAATAGGTAGGTACCCTTTCTCAAGGGCCAATCCTGTTTGTTATCTGTCACGACGTCCCAGTCGCTCTGCGTCAAATAATTGTGCAAGAACAAGTGGTTCTGGAGGTTCGCGGGCCTGCCGGCGTCGGATGCTGCGCGCCCAGCTCCTTGGAGACCTCTGTCCACGGCCATGTTAATGCAGCGGGTCATTTCGAGCTCGGCCGCCAAGGGAAAGTTGCTCGCGCCCAACTTGGCCAGCATCGCAGTGGCTGTCGAGGCATCGAGGCTTGCTGTCGAAGTCAGTGCGCGCGTCACGTTCATGCTCTGGCCCGCGACCAGCGCAGCGAACTCCGCGGTAGAGGGGGCGGTTCCAGAAGCGATGTTGGCGTCCAGGAATGCGCGCGCCGACTGCAAAACGTCCATGGCACGGAGCACGACGGCGTCTAGCCAGCGCCCTGCTGAAACGAGAAAAGGGGGTAGCGTCTCTGAGAATAGCTCGGCACCAAATGGCTTCGGCAGGAAAAAGGAGGAGATGGGGGGGGGATGCCCGCCATCGCCGACCCGAGTCACGCGGGCAGCCGCCGGCGACGCCGCTGGTTGCGGACGCAAGCTGCTCATTATTGTCTCTCCTCCTCTTCCTCCTCCTCCTCCTCCTCCTCCTCCTCCTCCTCCTCCTCCCCCTCCTCCTCCTCCTCCGTCTCCTCCTCCTCCTCCTCTGCCTCTTCGTCTTCCTCCTCATCCTCGCCCTCCTCCTCTTCCTCCTCCCTCGTATCCCCCATCATCCCCGCACATCCCTCACGAGGACGGAGGAGGGGGAGGCCGCGGGACGAGAGGGTCGATGTTTGTCAGCGTCAGCATAATTTACTCGAGCATTCTAACGTCCTTTGCGGCGAGGCCTGCAGATGAAACGCGCTTGGAGTTCTAGGCAGTAGCTCGCAAAGACGAGCCAAAACTGTGGAAAGCCTGACCTCCGAGATCGCACGATATAACAGCACATCAGAGAGTCAAGCCCCAGAGGACTCCGCTGATACCCACGTTATAACTGCACCCAGACTGCTAAAAAGAGCACGCGACGCCGTTGCGCGTCCGAGGGCGATGCCTCTCGATTGACAGTACTATGAAAATGATGCTTGCCTCCTGCCCCTGGTTGGACGACCCCTGTTTTTGAGTTGCACGATCTTCATCTCGCGCTGGAATGATGATATCAAAGCCCAAATTGGGGGGGGGAAGTGCAGAGGCAGCTAGGCGGCATTCCTAAAATAATGGTCCAGCGTGAGCTTCGGCCTCTTGGATGCAGCCTCAGCCCGCTTACGCTTCGGGCCTGGCTTGGGATCGAGCCGCAAACGCTGCCCAACCCGCTCCGCCGCCCTGACAGACTCGGCTGGATCGCCCAAGGCACGAGGCCAGTTCAACGGCCCGAGATCCGCTGACCCACAAAGGGGCATGAAGAGCGCGTAAGGATCGTTGCCTGGCCCGAGCCCGATGGCGCATGAAGCCCGACGGAGTGCCGGCAAGCAAGTGCATGCCCTACCTTAGTGCGCACAGCCAGTAAAATTGGCTGCAAGACTGCAGTGAGGAGCGGCACGGGGTATGCGTTACCAGTCGCACTGACGACTTGGGCATCGCTTGTAAAACTGCGAAGGCTCTGCAGAGGGAATCCCTGCAAGGTGAGTCTCTCCCCAGGGCTTAAATAGCGACAGACCTCCCGATGGTTATGCGCCTTCCGCGCGTCCCCAGCCTTCAATATGAATATGTAACGATTGCTCCTAGTCAGAGTCATGCAACTGTTCAGATTCATGGGGTTCTTGTACACTTTGTTACACCCCCTGTCCAAACAAAAACAAAGGATATCAGACTCGACGTACGTGCCCCGAACGAGCCCCGAGATGATGCGCCCCTCGTAGTTGGCCAAATTGCGCCGCAAGCCGGCGGTCAGGCTCTCTCGGGGGGTGACGGGCAACGCGTAGGCGATGAAATCCTCAAGGCCCCGAGGCGGTCTTCGAACCCAAGGGAAACCATGGGACTCCAAAAATGAGGAGGAGGATGAGGAGGAGGAGGAGAAGAAGAAGGAGGATAGGGAGGAGGAGGAGTAATTATATCATGTTTCTCTAAAAAAAGTCTCGGGCGGAACCTTCGTTGTGAAATGAGGACGAGGCGGAGGAGGAGGAGGAGGAGGAGGAGGCCGAGGAGGGGGGGGAGGAGAAGAGGGAGGGGGAGGGGGAGGAGGAGTAGGAGGAGGAGGAGGAGGAGCGAGGAGCGGAGGAGGAGATCAGGCGGAGGAGGCGGGAGGCGGAGCAGCAGCAGAAAGACAGCAGCAGGCAAAGCAACTGCAACAGCAACAGAGGAGGATAAGAGGGAGGGAGGGAAGGAAGGAGGCGTGGGAAGGAGGGGGGGAGGGACAGGTGGGAGGGAAGGGGAGGGGGGGAAGAGGAGGGGGAGTAGGAGGACGATGACTTAGGAGGAGGAGGAGGAGGAGGAGGAGGAGGCGGAGGAGGACGAGGAGGAGGAGGCGGAGGGGGAGGAGGAGGGGAGGAGGAGGCGGAGGAGGAGGAGGAGGAGGAGGAGGAGGAGGGGATGGAGGAGGAGGAGGAGGGAGGGGGGGAGGAAGAGGGGGGGAGGGGGGAGGAAGGAGAAGGAGGAGGAGGAGGAGGAGGAGGAGGAGGACCCTGAATTTAATTGAGCTGCCCCATGTCCTTCAGAGACCTCTGGCCGAATGGAGCCAATGGAGCAGGGAGGGGACCTGCTTGCGCGCGGATTCCCCGCAAAAAGACACGAGTGCGTTCCTGGGGGACCCCGTAATCCCTGGCCGAAAGTACAACGTAGTCCCAAACGAACTCTGGCACTTCATCCTCCAACACCCTGATGATATTCTCGATGAAATTCGCGGAATTGTCCATCTTGTTGAGAATTCCTCTGGGGACGGGGGCAAACTGATGTTGGGGTTCCTCTGGCGAAGGTGACTGCTTGTTTTTACGGCTTACTTTGAACAACCGCCTATCCTTTCACATTCTCTAGAACGCAGAAGAGCAAGTGGCCATCCTTAATGAGCTTCACGGCCCAGCAGAGAACGCGACAGTAGACGTCTGATCTCGGGTCCTCGGATCCCGTTCAGAAGCGGGGGGGTGGGGGTGGTGGCGGATGGGCGGGCAGGGGATGGATGTCCGTCCCCCTCCTCCTCTGCGGCCCCCCAGCATCATCATTATGTTCTCGCTCTCTGCAGGGGCCACAGGAGGTGGAGGGGGGCGACAGTCAACAGAGGCAGAGAGGGGAAGGACTAGAAGGAGAGGGAGGAGCAGGAGGATGGGGGAGGAGGAGGGGGAGGAGGAGGAGGCGAAGAATGAGGAGAATGATGAGGACAGGTGAAGAGGATGAGGAGAAGGAGAGGAGGAAAAGGAGGGGGAGAAGGAGGAGGAGGAGCAGGAGGAAGAGGGGGGGGGGGAGGAGGAGGAGAGGGGGAGGGATGAGGGGAGGAGGAGGAGGAGGAGGAGGAGGAGGAGGAGGAGGAGGAGGAGGCGAGGAGGAGGAGGAGGAGGAGGAGGAGGGAGGAGGTGGAGGAGGAGGAGGAGGAGGAGGACGGGGGAGAAGGACGCGATCCTGTCTCCCCAGGCGCGGCCCCTGGGGCGCCCAAGGGGGGCACGGGGGGCCAGCGACCGGACCGTCGCACGGGCCCGCGATCTGGGACAAGTCGACTCGCATGAGGTCACCACTCTCCTGATTGCGGTCGGAGGGAGAGTGGGAAAGTTAGAGAGAGGGTGAGACGAAGGGGGAGCGGGTGCTTGGGGCTCAGAGGGGAGGGGGCATTGCAAAGGACGAGATGGGGCGGAGTTGGCGTAGAGCCCCCAGGGGGGGCGACGAGAAAGGAGGGGGGGGAACGGCCACGATTTTGAATAGGCGGAGCCTTCCCCAACTGAGGGACCCCAGGGCCGAGGTGGTTCGTCAGAAAAGCCTTCATCTTCATGGGGGGGGGGCAACGCCTTTCTCGCGCTCCCAGGGCCAGGTCAACGCGCACACTGCCACGTTGACTTGCCCTGCCCCTGGGAGCTCGAGAACGGTGTTGCTGCCCCTCACGAAGATGCCTCGTATGCCGACTCCAAGTCGTACACATGTGTCGCATTATATTTGACTCCGAGCTTCTCGAGCGCGTGCCCGCATCCGTCGATGCCGACGCATGGCATCGCCACGACGATGGGACGCGCGAACTTCCTGGCAGAGAGATCGCCGCCGGCAGCCTGGCCCACTCTCTTCCTCCAACTTCCCCTCCTCTTTTCCTACATCTCCCCCCTCCACCTCCTGCCCCTTCTTCTCTCCCACTCCTCCTCCTTGTCCTCCTTGTCCTCCTCGTCCTCGTCATCGCCCCCCTCCTCTTCCCCTTTCTCCTCCTCCTCCTCCTCCTCCTCCTCCTCCTCCTCCACTCCCCCTCCTCCACCATCCTCCATCGTTTGTCGGTGAAGCTTTGTTGGGCAAGTTCGGTTTAAGTGTTTTGCTTCTGTGCGCGCCATGTCTGTTTTTTCGCGATCGCTTTCGTTCGAAGGGTGCTCGGTGTTCAAGCCTCGCGTAGCAGCAGCCCCCCTCCGCCCGCCTCTGCCCGGTTATCTCCCCCCCTACCCGTCCGCGTCGTGTGTTATGTGGCTTTCTGATTCCGACGTCGCCTAAGCACGCCTACCCTCCGCCTTCTCCTTCCCCTCCCCCACCTCATCTACGCGCCCCCATCCTCCTGCTCTCCACTGTCCTCCTGCTCTGCCTCATGCTCTGCTCCTGCTCCGCCTCCCTCCTCTCCTCCAGCCCGTCCCTTCCTCCGCCTCCGCCTCTTCTCCCTTCCGGCCTCCTCCTCCTCCTCCTCCTCCTCCTCCTCCTCCTCCTCCTCCTCCTCCTCCTCTCCTCCTCCTCTCTGGCCTGGCTGATGCCGATATCGGGCTCGGGGGTCACCCTGATGATTTGCTCGACCCTCTCCTCCCAACTAAGTCTCACCGCGGACGCCGATGCAGCTGGCATCGCCACAAAGAGCTTAGAACAGTGGATGGGCGAACGGACCGCAAACGCTTAGAAGCCAAAGGCTGCGGCGAACGCAGGTGGCGAGAATGCTGTCGCCTCTCCTACCCTGCCCCCGCTGCCTCCAACCCCTCCCTCGCACCAGCTAAGCGTGGCTCGAAGCTGAAACGGCCTGGCCATCATTCAGCTCAGGAGCAGGGCCCTCGGGCTCAGGCGTTCGCCCTGCGGCATCCGCAGGGGACGCGGACTCAGGTGCTCGCCGAGTGATGTCCTCGGGAACTATTGCACGCCGTGCGTCCTCGAGAAGCCTGGCACGCCGTTCGACTCTGCCTCGGAGTATGCCGATGGTCCGAATGGCAATGTTCATGATCGCCTCTGCCAACACAGCATGATTGGGGTCGGCCTCGATCTCTGGGCCCTCCTCTTGTCGGGCGCGCTTCTCATCGGGCGAAACCTCGGAAAGATCAGGCTCTCGTCTCCGTTTAGGCTGAGGAGTCGATGGCTCGGGCGCTGCCATGATTGCGGTGTCTTCAGAGTCTCAGGTCTCAGGCAAGTTCGAAATGCATGCCTCGAGCTCGCAAATGACACTGGCAGCAGCGGTGACGTGACTGTAGCAATGGCTGCATTCCCCTTTCCTTCCAGTCTCGCTGACCTGCTCCTCCCCTCTCCCTGTTCCTAATCTCCATCCTCCTCCTTCTCCTGCTCATTTTGACTCGGTCAGCCCGCGCCCACAAGAAGCATATATCGAGGGAGGAGGCACGCCAGACCCCCTGACGATTCGGGGCGATCATAACAACATATATTGCCTGGGCCAAGAAACGCCGAGGCAGGCCGAGGCTGAGGCAGGCTGAGGCCGAGGCTGACGCAGGCTGAGGCCGAGGCAGGCTGAGGCTGAGGCTGAGGCAGGCTGAGGCTGAGGCAGGCTGAGACTGAGGCTGAGGCAGGCTGAGGCTGAGGCTGAGGCTGATGCAGGCGGAGGCTGAGGGGCGGAGGTGGAGACGGCGGTGGCGCGGGCGGAGGTGGAAACGGCGGCGACGACGACGACGACGAAGGCGGCTTGTCGGTACTTGGTATCTGCTAGGCCCGCGTTTTACATGCCTATTTTCCATCCCGCTCAACCCATGTGTGGGGAACAACCTCGGTGGCTACGCGATAAGGTCAAGGACGGGGGAGAGCTACAACCTAAGCGCGCGCGAAGCACGCGCGTACTTCTTTAGTGGGCCCTCCGGGGGCTCTCTGCGCCCTCCCAAAGACCTCAAGGAGAGCAACAAGAGGGCCGCAAAGTGGCTCCAAGGGGGCCCCTAGAGTGTTCCACGACGGCCGAAAAAGATATTCAGATGGCCATGGCCATCTGAATATCTCTTGGGCCCCTTTTTGGGGCCCTCCGGGGGCGCGGTGGGCCCTCCCAAGAGGCTCCAGGAGCGCCCCAAGAGGGCCGCCAAGTGGCCCCAAGCAGGCCGCCAGAGGGCTCCAAGACGGCCGAAAAAGATATTCAGATGTCCATGGCCATCTGAATATCTCTTGGGCGCTTTTTTGAGGCCCTCCGGAGGCTCGGTGGGCCCTCCCAAGAGGCTCCAGGAGCGGCCCAAGAGGGCCGCCAAGTGGCTCCAAGGGGGCCCCCAGAGGGCTCCAAGACGGCCGAAAAAGATATTCAGATGGCCGCGGTCGTCTGAATATCTCTTGGGCCCCTTTTTGAAGCCTTCTGGGGGCTCGGTGGACCCTCCCATGAATCTCCAGGAGGGCCCCAAGAGGGCCGCCAAGTAGCTCTGCTAATCGCCCCCCTCGCCGCAATTGCCTGGTGCGCGTGCTGATCCCCTTCCTCCTCCTCATCCTCCTCCTCCTCCTCCCCCTCCTCCTCCTCCTTATCTCCCACATCCAGCTTGCCAGCGTTTGCGTGTCAAATTGGGCCTCTCTTGGCCCGAAGCTGTTTTCAAATTTAGCTCGTCGCCACGGCTGGACATCTGCCCGCCCCCGCTGAGAACGCTCGTTTTTACCTCGTTGCCCTTTGCTGGCCGCCGCTGGGATGTCACAGTCTGGCCTCCGCTCTCGAACTCCTCGTCCTCGCCCTCCCCCTTTATCCTCCTCCCCCTCCTTCTCTTCCTTCTCCTCCTCGTGTTCCTACTCCTCCTCCTCCTCCCTCCCTCCTCCTCCTCCTCCTCCTCTCCTCCTCCTCCTCCTCCTCCTCCTGCTCCTCCTCTTTCTCCCTCCTCCTCCTCCTCCTCCTCCTCCTCCTCCTCCTCCTCCTCCTCCCCGACTCCTCCCTCTCGAGCTGTGGACGCCGTCGCGAGATCAGCGAGAGCACTCTGCGCCCAGGCGAGGCCTCCAAGACAGCCCTAAGAAGGGCCCAAGACGCCCCGAAGAGGGCCCCAAGAGGGCTCCCAAAGGGCCCAAACCAAGATCAATCATGATAGAGTTGTTTTGTAGTTCCACAATTCTGTGCGATATCGAATGGTGTCGCTCGAACTTGCCGCCTGGGGGAATCATGATAGAGCTGGGTTGGGGCCCTGTCGGGGCCCTCTTGGGGCCGTCCTGGAGCCCTTTCGCGCTTCTCCGAGGGCCCTATACAGGGAGGGTCGAAGAGTGCCCCAAGACGGGCCCAAGAAGGCCCCGTCAAGGCCCCAAACACGCATTATCACTATAGATCTAGCTCCATCCCCCCTCGCACCCTCTCCCTCTCAACCCTCCAATCCTCACTTCCTATCTCTCCTCCCTCCTTCTCCTCCTCCTCCTCCTCCTCTTCCTCTTCCTCCTCCTCCTTTTCCTCATTCTCCCCCTCCTCCTCCTCACCTCATCGTCCTCCTCCTCCTCGTCCTCCTCCCTCTTCCTCCTCCTCCTCCTCCTCCTCCTACTTCTCCTCCTCCCCCTCATCATCATCATACTCCTCTTCCTTCTCCTCCTCATGATCCTC